GATTATAATATTTTGTATGAAGCGGTGTTTTTTTGCGCAAGCAAATTTGAAAATTATTTTCAACTGCATTATTAGTGCTAACTGCAGCTTGAGCTTTCATATCGCCATCGACTATAGTACTAACGTTGCTATTCTTTTCAACGAAAGATTCTACGTCAGTTTTATCTTTTTTATGTTTCTTTTTAGCTGAACCTCTTTCTTTTTTACTTTTATCTTTTTTCGGGTGTTTTGCAAAAACTGCTTGTTCATCGGACGGAGTAGAATCAGACTTTTTAGAACTACGTTTACGTTTTTCATTATGTTTATCTTTTAGTATTTTATTTCGAAAGTCTTCGTCGTTCAACAAACGGGCCACTTGAACCAACTGCCTAGCGCATATTAAGGAAGAATCGCGGTGCCTGTGCTTGTGCTTTTTGCTGCGTTTAGGACACTCTTCATCAAGATATGGCCCATTGATAGATTTAACAGCGCTTGAGATAACAGAAAATGAATCCGTGTCTCTCTCGCAATACTTTTCCTTGAATTCTTCATAAGGTTTTGCTAAATCAGTAACACACAGAGATAAAACGCCTGGTTTGCGATCTGGTTTCTGGCAACTTCTTTTGTGTTTAACGCGTTTCCTCTCACTTTTTACAGTGTCTTCGGAGCTGTGTTCACGAGATGGCTTTTCTATAGTGCAGCTGATCATGTTTATTGATGATGCTGAGTGAATTTTTTCTTTTTTGACAAGATGACTGTGTTTGGGCCTAATTTTATGTTGACGCTGAGAACTCGAAAATTGTCTTGTTTTTTTGTCTTCGTTCAATTTGCAATCTTCAATTTTTAGCAATGATGAATTAGAGTTTTCTATTTCAGTAGAAAATTGGTCGACTGATTCTTGTAATCTTGGTTTTTGAATACAGAGTTTAATTCCATCCTCAGCTGTTTTATACCTTATATCCATGCTGGGAAAATTGTAACATTAATACATAATTAATTAAATAATATATCAATCAATCAACCAACTTTTCGGTAATTCGAAGAAACGTTGCTGCAGAAATCTCTGCTCAGAAATTATAGTTGAAATTATAATTTTTAAATTTTCAATAAATTTTTTTTCTATATATTTAAATATCAACTTAAAAGAAAATATACTGAGGTCACTCGTTTGCAAAATAAATTTTGCAAAAATATGCAAAATATAGAGTTGATAATTGGAAAGTAAGTTTTCTAAAATTTTATAAGGTAATTTACAAGAATTATTTGTTACTCAGGAATACTATTTTAGAAGAGTTTTAGTACTACTAATACTTAGTACATTTCATGATCCCTGTATTTAAAGGGAAATTTTATGTATGCTCTTAAATTTATATGCGATACTGCTATAATTAAAGTACCGAAAATATTAAATTAGTTGAAAACGTATTTAGAGTACCGTTTTCAAAATACTTATGGTGTTTTCTAATAAAAATACTCATTACCTAAAATTATCAAATTATAGACGATATACACCTTGCTTGGAAATTAGTTCTGAAAGTGGTATTTATACATAATACTTAGTAAAAATACTCTTTACCTAAAAAAATCGCATTGTATACGACATACACCATCCTTGGAGCCATTTGGGATGCGAATTCTTCTTAAATCAGCTGGAAAATGTTCAAAAGTCTCATTACGTATGATTGTTGTATCCGTAAACATTTTTGGCTACATCCAGTCTAGCCCCCTTTTGCACCAAAAGATTAATATTGTACGATAGCATTTTATCAACCTGTTAAAGGCATGACCGCCCCGAATTTTGATGAAAGTTATTTTTACTGTATGAAATCGTTAGAATTTTGACATTTTTAAAATATCAAAAACAAAAGGTTGACAAGAATCGTAGCATTCGTGTCATTTATTTCTGTGATATAGTTCTTTCAAGAGACCGATTAATGGTATGAGTGATATGTAAATGTGCACATAAGAAAAAAATTGTATTATTTATTATAACTTACATTCATATTGTTGATGATATTAATTTTTATATTAGTTTGAATTTTAGCTTTAATCAAATGAAAAGTGCCCACTTAATTATAAAAAATAAAAAAATGAAACTTTTTAGTGGAAGTATTCAATTTTTATTTAATGTAATTTAATTAGAACAATATTGCATTAAGGTGTGGCTTTTTGTTATTATTGTACTAGTATCGTTGTGCCACTTCAGAAATAATGACGTTGTTGGAAAACGTTGATGTACTAAAATTAATTTTATAATTAAAACTTGTTCATGAAAATAAGTCTATAAATATTTACAAGTTTTGTTCAATTTTTTTTTATCTAGATGAAGTCTATGTTTTAGCCTGAAAATCCATTTTGATAATTTTATGTTTTCTCGACGTTTCAAGTCACTCTGAATCTTTTAACCACAAATTTGGAGCACGATAACCACTAAATAATCTAGCAGACTTATAAAGAACTTGCAAAGTTTCTTGAGTGCGGTACAATGCACTAGAATTCTCTTATAAAACCTATTAAAAAAATCAATTTTGAACATTATTTCAACATCAAGAATTTATCAAAGATGGTATTTTCCACGAAAAAAGCCTTTATTTTGGAGAAAAAAAATTGGAGAAAATACGTGAGTGAAAGACCAAAATTTGAACTTTTTTCAAAAAAGGTTGAACCGATTACAAAAATTCAAAGGCCATTCGATGAAAATCGATAAAATCTAGCGTTGATTAGTTTTGTGAGACGGTCGACCAAGTCGTTTCATGAAAATTTGCAGAAAACTAATTTTTTTATTCAATAGAAACCATACCTTTGAAATGAGTTCTGATGTCCCGTTCATTGAACAAAAAATAAGGGTTAAATTTTGAAAAACCTAGCAGGGAGGGTTTTAGAGGGTGAGCCATGGGTATGGGTGAATCGGCCTTTCAAAGTTAGTGGGGGTCGCTCATATATTCGAACGTGATTGGGGCACTCTAAATGGTTCAAAATGAAATTTTTCAAATTTTAACCCTTATTTTTGGGTCAAAACACGAGACCTCAGAAATCCTTTTAAAGGTTACTTCAGCAAAGTATCTTATTTTGATCTCTAGTATCCATACAAATAGACCCATACAAATCTACCCGCTCTAATAAATATATTATATAGTCTAAACATGCATGACAATTATAATTGAGACTTACTTTAGAAAAAATCTTCTTCAAGTTTAAATCGCGCGCCTAAAAATCGTATTGAGAAAATTTTGTTTCCTTTCGAAACCAATTAGAAAATATAGAAATGCATGCTATTTAAATAAATATAATAATTAAAATATTCAATTTTAATAAATCGTTTAATTACAATAGCGAATATTATCGTTTCTATAAAACATCAGTGCTAATTATTAGGGGCCGTTCAAGTATTACGTAAGCACTATAGGGGGGCGGGGGGTTGTTGATTTGCTTATTTTGGGTTGACATGGGGGGCAGGGGAGTCTGGATGATGATTACGTCATAGGTAGTATTTTTATTTTTTTACATTAATTGCAAAATGTTTACGTAAGCATGGGGGTAGGGGGTAAGAGCTTTAGCTTACTTTGCTTACTGGGGGGGCTGACGGGGGGATGGGGGGGTAATAATGTAATAAATCTGTTTACGTACTACTTGAACGATCTCTTATAAATAGACAATAAATTGTCTATTTATAAAGAGAATTTGACAATGTAAATTGTAAAAACAATGTTCTAATTTAAATTAGAATATATTTATATTCTGAAGAACAGGTATGCTTTATGCAACATCTTAATATAAGTTAAAATTTTTATTACATTGTTAAACATTAAAATACAGTAATTAACCTCCCGTAGGGCAAGTTATAGTAATCGGCAAAAAAATCGAAAATGAAAATTTTTATATATCTTTAACTTTTAGAGGTTTCTGAGCATTTTGGCATACCTTAGAAAAAATTAATGTATGTGTGGGTAATGTGTATATGTGTGTGTGTGTGTGCGGATACAAATTTTCGTAGACGATTTCGCGTACACTGTTCAACCGATTTCAGTTATTCAAAAAACATTTGATTCGTATTGATAAGAAGACGTGCTGATTAGTTTTTGGCACAGGCAGGTCTAGCCGTTTCGAAGACACGGGACAAAAAGTGCCAAGAACGGGAACTTAGCTTTTAAGAGAACAGAGCGTCTGATTCTAATAATTCAAAAAATATTTTACTTGTATTGACAAAATGAAGAACTGATTAAATTTTGGGAGGCAGGAGATCTAGTAAAAAAAGTAATTTAGTAAAAAATGCAATTTTGAGGTCAAAAATGATCATTAGACATCAAATTATCAGATATTTTATGAAGATTTTAATAATGTGTATCAATTTTGTTTACATTTCTATGGTTTTCGTAACATCATTTGTCCGTTAGACGGCGACGCGGCGCATACGCGCTTCGATATTGCGTCTCTATGCAGCTAAAGCAGTGCGATTGCTTTGAATAATAGTTCAAAATTTCCGAAATATTTCAAACTAAAAAAAAATATACTAAACAAAAACAACACGGAAAGTTTCAGCAATTGAAGCCTTAAGGCACGATGCCATACACTACTAGTTAATAAATAAATTTTATCTAATAAATATTTATTATTTAAAGAACGAAATCAAGAAAAACTCGCACCATCTTCTTATCTTCATCACAAGAGAACACGAACTTCATCTTGGATACGAACCAATGATAAATGTCAAAATCAAAATACTAATATTTATTTAAAATATTAAAGTTTATTGAATAGTTTGTAAATACATATTCGTGTGTTATTAAATAATTACTTAATATCAATTCGTTTAAATAATATGTTAATTTAGCAATAATTTTCGCGATTTATTAAAATTGATTAACTAAATACATTTTAACTATCTTAGAACATAATTTTTAAATAATTAAATGCTAGTCAAATGTCATCTAGTTTCAAATAGCTCTTATTTAAATTTTTAATAAATAAATGCTTTTTTGTGGAAAATACAAGCTTTGATAAATACTTGAAGTCAAAACAATGTTTATTTATAGATAGTTTATTTTTAGTGAAACCACATTTGGAATGTCAATAATTTTCTAAAATGTGATATAGAAATGTAGATCTAAAATAAATCATAATGTGTATGATATATGTACGTATATATATTTTTTTGATATATATATATATATATATATATATATATATAGATATAAATTTATTAATTTCTTGTAATTCATTTTATTAGAAAAGCATGTGCACAATTACATGATCAGTTTCCTTTATTCATCTGAAGATATTATGAATAAAATGTTGGATATGGAGGCCCCACATAGGATTCTTGATTGGGGTACAAAGGATCATTTGCGAGACTTGCAACAGCAGATTGATCAAATGCATTTTAGTTATTTAGAAACTGATGATTGTCCACAAAAAATTGAACAACGACAGAAACTTGAGGGTAAGTTCAATGTTATTCTTATATACTTTTGATTAAAATTGGTCTCTCTAGTTTTCACAACATCTATTGCAAAACGTTTTAGTTTAAAAACTTCAAGAGCGAAGACTTAATTATGTCTTACTCATTTATAAACATCATATTTTATTACTCACTTTTTATTATATAAATTGATTGTTTTATTAGGTTTTATAAGAGAATTCTTGTGCATTGTACCACACTCAAGGAAGTTTGTATTAAGAGAAACTTTGCAAGTTCTTCATAAGTCTGCTGGATTACAAAACTTTAGTGGTTATCGTGCTGCGCTTGCCTGGAATGCAATCGCTCGATATGCAGCTAATTTACTTACACAACCATGGAGAAAGGAATATAAAGAAATTAAGGTTATTTCAGTTATATTAGGCATTAATGATTTTGCTTTGTAGATCTCTTAATGTATCCTAAATCTTATAATTACATGATAATAATTTTGATTGGTTAATAACATTATATTTGATTTATTGGAGCTCTTTTTGAATTATCAGTTGTATTGTGGGTTTTATAAACATGAAATTGAGGAAAATCTTGTTGGTGCTGAAATTATATTTGAAGCAATGGGTTATAAACGTGTGGATGGAAGCACTCTTTTACTTGAAGGGCCCATTTGCCCAGATCAAGTTGCCCATGTTAGTCGAGATTCTTTAGTGGCATTTGTAGAGTGTGAGGTAAAAACTATAATTAACTAATAGTATTATTAATTCTATAATCAATATTTTAATTTTTTTGTTGTTTCAAGATCTTAAAAAATATTTGGGAAACAGTATCTGCAGTATGTAATATTAAATGGTTAGAAGCATTACAATTTAGGGAAGTGCATATTGGAGGTCCGGAACAGGCTAGTAAAGCCTTGTTGTACAGGCATAATGAAAACAACTATCAACAATGTAAACCAGAAAATAATTGTAATTCTTATGCTGCTGTAAATGGTAATAATGAAAAAAAAATCATTTAATGATTACATATTTGTTTATTATTCCTTAAATATTTATAGATGTACAATATCAGCATTATTCACATCTATATAACAGAAACATGTCAAATGTTATGACCTCTGATTTGCCTGGACAGTGCTTATATGGACAGTTTGTTCCACAAAATCCATATGGTTTGAACTGCTATGGTCACCCACCTGCGTATGCGATAACAATTCCTGTTAATATTGCAAATGCTGTTCCAATACCATTTCAAAATGGCATGCCGAATTATATGATGCCAAATTATATTAATCCCACAGCTAAAAATTTTGTTAGGTATGGTTATAACAATGAAGCTGTTTCTCAAAATCTTAATGACTACACTGGCCAAGCTCATGTTGCAACTGGTCAGTTAATTGAAGTCGATGGTGGCCAAAATGTAAGTCGATTGAAGCTAATTTATTTATTTTATCAATTTGACATCAATTACAACATCCTATAATTTATCTTTTATGTTTTAAACTAATTTAAACATAATTTTTATTATTAGTAAGATTAGATAGTTGTGTAGTGAGAAGATATAATTGTTTTAAAATGTTTTTATTCTATTTTCTAAAAAAAATAATGATATTTTTATTTAAATCTTTAAGATGATGCCACAGTTGTCACAACAATCTTATAAGTATGATGAAGTGGATTCTAACTCGTACAAATCAAACCTTCCACAACAATTTACTAACAAAGTTGAAAAAATTAATAACAATAAAGATTGTTTAAAAACTGATGAGAGCTTTGAGACTTGGGATTATGTATATAGAGATTTAGAAAAACAAGGATATAGCAAAGATCTTGGTGACAGAGAAAATGTTTTGGAAAAGAAAATGCAGAATAATAGTTCATCAAATATCACCAAGTTAGAATATTCACTGCAATCACTAAACCTGCAAAAACCAAGCAAAGATAATGAAGTAATCGTGACTAATAAAATTAATAACAACAAATCAAAAACTGAAGTATACAAAAAAAATAAAGCATCAAATAAAAGTTCTGAAAAATTAGAAATATCGAAACCATTATCAAAAAAATCAGGTATATTCTATAATCCATTATATTTCAAAGCTCTATAAATATAATTTTTTAATATATTACAGAATTTTGGCAGTGCATTACATGTACATTTAATAACTCAATCGGTAAAGATATATGTGAGATGTGTGGAAAATCAAGGAAAGGTGGATCAGAAATTCAACCTTTAACAAGTGGTGGAAAGGAGTGTTCTAAATGCACTTTAGTAAATGAAAAGGATACAAAAATTTGTGTTGCTTGTGGTGCAAGTTTATTGGATTCTCCCACATACATTTAAATATATAATTCAGGCTAATCCAAATTTCGGTTTGTGCACTTATTTTTTACACACACACACACACACCCACGTATAAATATATATATATATATATATATATATATATATATATATATATATCTAGGTGTGTGTTTATATGGCTGTACATATAAATAATCTTTTATACAGCTGAACCGTTGTATGAAGGTAAATTTTCAACCTGTTTTAAATTGACTTTTTTATACATTATTTAAAAAATAGAAGTGTGAATATTTAGTTTATGTTCTGTAACTAAATATAAAAAAAATATTTTATTATTACATTATACGAAAGGTACGAAATTTTGGTTTGCATACACACATACATGCACTAACCTACTTATCTAATTTTGGAAGTTCAATTTAATTTCGCTCACATCAACAGTTATTACTAGTAGCCAAAATCGGAATTTGGAAAGATATTTATATATTACTGAGCAACAGCAAAGTTCATGATAAATAAGAAAACTTCAGACAATTTTCTATTTAATATGTTGCTCACATGGTTAAATGTTATTTATTATGCCAGGTATTGCAATAGTTGTAAAAAAGATTGTGATTGGTGGAAGTATGTATATATGTATTTAATTTTTGACATTAAATATATTCATAAAGCAACAATCCCTAAAATATATGATGTATATAGAATTATATATCCAATGATAAACAAAAATTATATATTAAATATAAGTATGTATTAAATAGTAAAACGCTTGTAAATAAACAATTGTTATTACCAATTTTAAAATTGGTGATATTCAAAATATAAATAAAACAGGAAAAATATACTGTGGGTATTATTTATTTAATAAAAATTTTATAATCAATCTGCTTTGGCCCAGTAGTTAATACTCACCTGTGTTTGAGAAGATTTGCTTATTAAAAGCTTATATGATTCTTAAATCTATATATCATTAGCAAATCTTTACGAAACTCCATTTTAGATATAAGAGCAATATGATTTCTCCAATTTAAATGTAAACAAATTATGTACAGTAGAGGATCCGAGTCGTAGAAATTTATTTATTAAAAATAAAGTCTTTACAATGATAAGATATCTCGATTGCATTATAGTATATATATATATATATATATATATATATATATATATATAAATGTGTGTGTGTGTGTGACTCTTCACTTCTGAAAAGGTTTAATTAAAAAAAGAGACTTATTACTTTTCAATAATAAATAGTTGATAGTTCTTTATTTCGTTCGGTTGCTGCTACAGTACTTTTCCTTGGAAAAAGTTTTTGTTGAAACTGAAACTATGTTACCAGTCTCTATAAATATTTAGTTTTTACTCTATGTTTAATTTTTGTTCTAAAAATTATTGAAGTACATGAACAGTCTGTGCAGGGCCTTGGTTGAACAAGTGTCTTTATCATAATAATGAATTTTCATAACATAAATGATAGATTTGATGCTAAAGTGTTTTTTCTATGAAAATATGATTTAGGTATGTACCAAATAATGTTTTATATTTTGAATTTGAGGCAATGTTTATGTATTCATAAATATTTTGACAAACAGTTGGGTTATGCCCATACTCTACATAAATAATTGTTGAATATATTTTCAACACATTATAATTCATTTTATGCTCACATTGTAATATTTATTAAATCTAAAACAATTTTTAATACCTGAATTTGTTACTTCAAATATTAAAATGAAATTACAGTTTTTGAGGTTAGAAATTACGAATGCCTAACTTGTTGACAATTACTTTTAGCTTAAAATTGCTGATTAATTTAATAAATGTTTAATAATTAATTGAAATATCCCTGATATTTTGATATTTTTTTTTTGTTTTGTTATATTTAAAATCACGAAATTTTCACACATTTTACTCAATTTGAATATAATAAATATCAAGTTAAAACCACGGTTAAATTCACGTTTTTTTTTTAAATACATTTTACTCAATTTGAAAATAATATGTTGAATATTAGATTAGAAGGATTAGAATAGCCATGCTTAGCTGGCAGATGTATTTTACTTTTAGTAAAATATTTTGTAAATAATTTTAACTTGTGGGGCGCATGGCATCGTGCCTTAAATTGCTGGAACTTCCCGTACCGTAAAAAAAGTTCGAGGAATATTAAATGTTTTAATAGATTATCATAAATATATTTATTCATAAATACTGTAACATTGTCTAATATTTTATAAGAAACTATAAATTGCAAAGTTGAAAATATTTGTTCAAAGTATATTAGAACTTAAGTCAGAATTACAATTAAAATTTGAATTATTTTCGATATACAAAAAAGAAAATTTTTGGAAAAAAAAATTAAGGTAATTTTTTTTCAAAAGCAATTATTTTGTTAAAACAAGCCGAAAGTTCTTTGAATCATTCAAATCGGACGCTTAGTTATCTCAAAAACTGCCATTTTTTTCACATTTAGATCTGTATCTTCGAAATGGCTGGACCTGTCTAAGCCAAAAACTAATCATCTCTTCTCCCAATCATTACAAATTGAATGTTTTTATATCATTCAAATCAGATCTAAAAAGATATCTATATCGATCTCTCAAAAACCCGATTTCTATTTTCTGCATTCTTTGCTCCTGGACCTGCCTTTGCTAAATACTAATCAGCACATCTCCCTATCAATAGGAATCGAATGTTTTTTAACCATTCAAATCGGTTGATCCGTGAATGAAAAATTGTATCCATACATACATACACACACACACATCAATTTTTTCTGAGGTATGCCAAAACCTTCAAAACGTAAAGAAATGTAAAAAATTTCAATTTCGATTTTTGGACGATTGCAATAACTTACCCTATGGGAAGTTAAAAATATGTTTTATATATTTGCTTGCTATTTATATAGACAAAAAACAATTCTAGCATTATCATCGCCATCATGCCACAAACATTTCTAAAATAGAAGTCAAAAAATAAATTAAGCACAAGCATGATCGTTGACATTATTTCAAAAATTAAAAATAATTTATTCATAAGTATGTGACCTATGACCAAAAATCGTGAATATGGTTTTAACTTGATTTCATATTCAAATTGGGTAAAATATGTTTTAAAAAATCCGTGGATAGTTATCCATGGATTTAAATAGATTTCATATTCAAGTAAATATATAAACGGCAAACACTTTGTTAAAAAATCCGTGGATAATAGTCTATGATTTGAACTTGATATTTATTATATTATATCCAAATTGAGTAAAATGAGTTTCAAAAAAAAGCATGAATAGCAGTCATTTAACTTGATATTTATTTATGATTTGATTTTGAGATTTTATTTATATTCATGCTTTTTTTTAACACATTTTACTTAGAATAATTTTTTATTTTTATTACAGGTGCTTATGATTTTAAGAATGCCTTAAAAGGAACCATAAACCCTGGGTGTCTTCTATAGTAGAGAAAACATATAATCGACAACTAATCGGACAAAGTCTTTTTGATGAAAAGGACGAAATTATCCTATTTGATGAGCTTTCAGGGCGTGTACCACTGAAAAACAACAAAAACTTTGGTTGCAACATCGGAATTTTAGCAAAAAAATAGATTTGTTTCTGCTATTTTGGAAATGTTTTGACTGATTCCAAAAGATTTTCGGACGCTGATTTAAAAAATGCTATCTATTTTTGGATAAACCCATATACACCCCGCGAACAATCGAAATCTTTGGTTGCAAAATCGATTTTTTTTAAAAAGAACGGCCTTTTTTCGCAATTTTCAAAATGTTTTGATTGGTTTTGATTGATTTTGGGACGCTGATTTCGAAAATATTATCCGTTTTTGGATAAATCCACATACACCCCCCGAAAAATCGAAATCTTTGGTTGCAAAATCGATTTTTTTTTAAAAAAATAGTTTTTTTTCCCGATTTTCAAAATGTTTTGCTTGGTTTTGATTGATTTTGGGACGCTGATTTCGAAAATATTATCCGTTTTTGGAAAAGCCCCCATACACCCCCCCGAAAAATCGAAATCTTTGGTTGCAAAATCGATTTTTCTTTAAAAAAATCGGCTTTCTTCGCGATTTTCAAAATGTTTTGCTTGGTTTTGATTGATTTTGAGACGCTGATTTCGAAAATATTATCCGTTTTTGGAAAAGCCCACATACACCCCCCCGAAAAATCGAAATCTTTGGTTGCAAAATCGATTTTTCTTTAAAAAAATCGGCTTTCTTCGCGATTTTCAAAATGTTTTGATTGATTTTGGGACGCTGATTTCGAAAATATTATCCGTTTTTGGATAAATCCACATACACCCTCCGAAAATCGAAATCATTGGTAGCAAAACCAAAGTTTTACTAATGAAATTAAATTTTTTTTTCGCGATTTTCAAAATGTTTTGACCGATTCTGATAGTTTTCGAGGCGCTGATTCCGAATATGAAATCAGTTTTTGGAAAAAAAAATTCTTCTGCCCTTGGTACCAAATTGAAGTTTGAAAAATTGCCAACTTTGAAGCTGATTTTAACACTGAAGATGATGATAAATTTGTATTTTTTTTTGGTTTGGTATAAAGATTGTACTTTAGTCTACACAATGCATCCATTAAAATTATCAATTTCATTCATTAAGGGCCTTAAAATTGCATTTGAAAGTCACGATTTTGGCCAATTTTGGCTGCTCCTGATAGACTGTCTTTTTATCTGAAAAATAATAAGATTTTTAAATTACACCAAAGTAGGTTTGGTTTACTGCTAACCAGGCGTAAATATAAATTTATTAAAAATTATCCTACTATTTCTTATCTTATATATATATATATATATATATATATATATATATGCGTACATATATATATATATATATATATATATATATATATATATGCGTATATATATATATATATTTATTATGTAGATTTTTGTAATACTGACACTCAATAAATTTAATTCTATCTATATGTCTTATTTATTTACACAGTTTGAAAAATTATTGGTTCCAAATATTTTTTTCAGTCAAATGGGGTTCGAACTGGCGAACTTCGAATTGATATTCTGGCCTAAACCGTATCTTTACGACCTCGGCCATTTGCTCACACGAAATTAGACA